CTCAGGTCTCCACATGCTTTGACAGACGTCATGCGAGCCCGTTTTGTTCCTAGTCACTACACTCGAGACCTGTTCAAGAAACTCCGAGTGCTCAAGCAAGGAACGAAGAGTGTCAAAGAGTAATGCAAAGAAATGGAAACTGCCATGATCCGAGCAAACATGACCAAGGCCAAGGAACAAACCATTGCACGTTTCCTCGATGGTCTCAACTACTTCATCAAACAAACCTCGGATTTTGAACCGTACACCAATTTGATTGAGTTGGCCCATCAAGCCACGAAGGTAGAGAGATAGGAGCAAGGAGACTTCAGATACTCGATACACCCTCAAGTAGTGACCCCTCAATCTCCAAAACTCTGACAACTCAATCAAGTCAACCTACAAATACCTACAAGCAACATTCAACATCAAGTGCCACCATGGCCTCCACCGACAATAAAAGCAAGATTGAATGCTTCACTTTGCAACGGTTGTGGGCACAAGACCCTATGAGTGTCCCCCAATAAGCACACCATGGTGATCAACAAAGCAAGAATATGTAAACGAAGGTGAATTTGAAGCTTTGAAAGATGATGCTAGGCACCAAGATGTCACAAATAAGAAGATTCTGAAGTCTACTGTGAAAATGATTTGAGCCCAATTCTTGTTGTCTTGAGGACCTTGACCATCCAACAACAATATGAAGCCAAACAACATTGCAACCTCTTCCACCCCAAAGCCTGCATTAATGGACAATCCATCAAAGCCATAATCGATGGTGGAAGTTGTCACAACTTGGCAAGTGTGATGTTGTTTCCCATGGTTGTTTGCCACCTACTCGTGGGAAGACCATGGAAATATGAGCGGGGAGTCGTCCAAAATGGACGCACCAACTTTATAGCCTTGAAGGAAGCACAAAGTTGTACATCATCCGCCTATGTCACCAAGCCATATTCATTGTCGACAACTTGAGCGTCGAGAAGGACTACACAAGAAATTGAGAGAAGATGGGTAAGGGAGCGAGCCACTTCAAAGTAAGTGAGTGCCACAAGCCAAACATGAGTGCATCCATGATGAGTGCTCATAAGACAAGGTCCTTTTAGCTACCAAATCCGAGTTGAGTAAAGTTAGTGAGAACCCATCAATCCTTCATTTTGTACTCATGTAACTAACCCCTCACACACTTTGCCTAGCTCTATATCTCATGTTTTGTGGGAGTTCACCAAAGTTTTCCCATCAGAGATACCACCGCGACTTCCGGAACCTCCTCTACGAGGCATCAAACAACAGATTGACCTCATACCCGTCACTCCACTTCCAGACCGTCCATCTTACCACATGTTAAGATAAAACAAAGGAAATACTATGTCAAGTACGTAAGCTATTTGACAAGGAGCAAGTACACGAAAGCTTAAGCCCGCTGATACATCTTAAATGTATTCACAATTTTTGTAGGTTCAATGCTTTAATAACACTGAATATGCATGTTTTTATGATTTACTTGAATTATAACATATTAATAAAGTGTCAAGTGCCAGGTCTTCTTTTTAAGTGCTTTTGTTCCAAGAAAAATAGATATTTTACACTTTGCCTAGCTCTACGGGGAAAATTTGAAAAACAAAACACAAGAGTTCTATAATCTTGCCTTATTCTTAATATAATTTATGCTCTTTTGAAGCATCTCACGGTATGTTTAAGCATGAAAGATTGGCTTGTTTTTTGCCTTTTACTTTTTTACTATAGTCTATTCTTATGTTATTTTTTCTTTCCTTGCATGGATTCTTTGGTCAACAGTTGTATACTTGGCAACTTGCCGCAGCTTGTGCCTCCCTTGGCAATTGGTTATAGCAGGTTAAGCACTAAGCTTTGCTGCCAGTAACAATATACTTTGCGAAAAAAAGCACATCCTATCTTGCAACAGAATATTGCAACATTGGTCAGTTAATCCTTGCAAGCATATTCACATGCCACACCAGAAAAAAGATAAAAATGGTCCATCCAAGATTTGAATTAAAAATTTGTTGTACAGTAGGTCACACAAATGGTTCAAGAAGCAAAACATGGGCCATCTAAAATTAAATGGAAATGACATTGCGCGACAGTGATAATAGCCGCTCTAGTCTTTTACCATGGCACTTGTTGCAAGGCTCCAGAACAGTTAACTTAACTGTAGACGGAACTTTATTCTCAATGTATGTTCTGATAGCAGAGAGTGTCCTAGGGGTTTCCACGAGAATAGGATCCGCGACGGGAATACACCAGTTGTCCTCGCCTTGATCATCACACCTGCTCCCACAAATGGTGTCCAATGTAAGATATTCAAGTGACACCGCGTTCTTGAGAATATAACATGTCAGTTCAATCAAGCACTTGGCAGAGCTGAAACCACTGATCTTCACGCTCTTGAGGTGGCCATGGTGGTGTTCAGGCATGTGCCTCAGTTGTGAATCCACAAAAATCGATTCATGCAGCATACGCCGCTGAGTCACCTGACAATAAAAAGGATAATATGATTCAGTTAACTGGACCCAGACTGATCGGATGGCGTTGCAGGACGAATTAAATGAACAGCGCCACATACTTACATCTAATGTCAAAGTCTCCAGGGAAGGAGAAGCATCCAGGAAAGAAACCAGAGAAAAATAGTCATATGTCCCAGAATCATTTGGTCCTAATCTCAAAAAAATGGTCAGGTGCTTAAGGTAGAGGAATTTGGTAGGCAGCATTGGTGCATCAACCACCTGCACACACAAAACTTCATGTATCAGATACACCCTACACCAGATATTATGACTAATAATATAATATGTATATATCTCTAAACTACAACACATAATCTTGTAGCGAATATATATATATACCTCATCTTGTGATTCTATGTAAAGAGTTTCAATATTTGGCAGAACGGCTGGCAGCTTGGCACGGGCATCATAGATAAGATTGCTTTGTACCAAGTATAGTTTCTTCATTTGCCATGTTTCCACAAGTGAGAAGTCTAACCTGCATCCTGATCTAAGGCGGAGACTAGAGAGATTTGGAGCTTTGCTCTCTATCACTCCCAATCTCTGGCATACTAAAATATGAAGCCCGCTGAGCCGCTGCAAGGCACTAGATAACTTCAGACATTTAATCTCATTGCAACTAGTAAGATCTAATAGCTCCAAAGCGAGAGAGTTGGAAAGAAGGCGCTCTAACTCATTCCATGTGATGCTCAAATGGCAGAGGTACAGGCGTGTTAGGCTTCTCAAGGGGCCAAGTTCAACTGCGCGATGGAGGACACAGAGACCAAGTCTAAGGCACCGAAGCGAGTTTCCAACCCTGTCAGATAAAAGCGCGCATGGGAAGTTGTATGTTCTCTTTGCTCCAGACAACGGGCATGGGAAGTTGTATTTGCCAGTTGTTTGAGACATTGATGCAGACAACATGAAGTCGAGTTCTTCGAGCCCAGGCTTAAGAGCAATCTGAAGCCAACTGTCAAGATAACTGAAGTCATCGAGCCCATTCATTCGAACGTAGTCAAGCCTGAATGTTTTCAAGCTGCCTTTGTGTTTCCTCAGAATGCAGTCAATCTTGTGGTGGACCTTCTCTCCACTCGCACTTTCTTCCGAGCCAATTGTATCCTTATTAAAGATGAGGCTGGAATGGTATCTCCACGAATGTAAAAAGGGAAAGCCAATTGTATCCTTATCAAAGATGAGATTGGGATGGTATCTCCACGAATTTAAAAAGGCGTGAGATGCGCAAGCAGCACGAGCAGCTTCACGCATTGGCATTAAGGAGTGTATACGAAACAATATGTCCTGCACACACAAGCATGGGATAATAAAAGGTCAACATTGAGAACCTAAGGTCATTAGTTCAACTGGAGAAAGAAAAACAGTAGAACCACATGGAGCAGCGCAAAGGAACATGAAGCCCCCCACACAATTGCACAGGGTGCGCTACTTTAGATAGTAGGCAGTGCAAAGGAACTAACTTTGCTAGGGAAACTCAGCAACCCATAGAGAAGTTTCGCTAACAGTGTTAAACAAACGGCAAAGATAGCATATCTGAATGGCACACCATGAAACAGAATCAGCCAATCTGGCAGTTACACATCCTATGATAAACCAGAACCGGGGTAACTAAGATGAAGAGATAATT